ATTCGAGAATCTACCTCACCATAAACCATTTCCACATGGATGGTTCTTGAAGCAACTAATAGTAATGGAAGAATGGTGTTGGATATGAGAGGAATAAATAAAAAAAAAGATTACTGATTCATACCCGATATCTAATATTACACAAACTTTTGATCAAGTAGGAAGTGCTAGATTTTATTCCGTACTTGACTTTGATATCGAATTTTATCAAATCGAGATGCACCCGAAACATGCTCATATAATGGCTTTTAGTACGTCATTCGGTCACTACAGGTTTGTGCGTATGCTGTTCGGCCTAAGGAATGCGGCCGCAACTTTTTACGTTTAACGGACACGTTGGTCCGTGGAATTCAAGGCCTCCGTTAGAACCGCTTAATGTAAAGCTCATACATAAGGATGATAGTTTCAATCAGACATAAGATAGAAAAATTAAAAATCTAATTTATTCTTACATCAGCAAACAGATAGGTGAAGAATTTTGTTTCCTAACAAACTCTACTTCTACTATCAATGTTATTAAATCATGCTGCACACCAAATGATAAACCTATTCAAATAACTAATACCATACCCATGCAAAGCATTTTCACTTAAAATGACTATTAATAATGTGGATTTGTTAAATTATCAATAGCCAGAAATGAAATTGTATTTTACGTTGTTGAAAATTGCCAAATGCCATATCATAGAATTATAGGTAAAAATTTCTTGTGCAACACCAAGAATAAATTGTAAGAATAAATTATAATAATAACAGCATAGTCAAGAGTAATACACTGAAATTATTTTTAGTGAAAATAAGATGCAAAAATACAGGAGAATATATAATTTATACACTCCCATTTTTGACGAAAAATCCTATTTATACACGGTGATCCATTTTAATCGCCGCAACCGGATTACTCGGAACCTAAGCCAGATAGAGCAAAATGGTTCTAACAAAAGTTGTAGAGGGCAAAGGGGGCAATACAATAGGGCTAACGCTTTTAACCTTGAACTTGACCTTCAAGGTTATTTCAAGGTTAAAGTGTTTTTTTTAATGGGAACCCCTATTTTTTGACATTGGATTCGGAAAGAGCGGGAAATTTTACGTTCACAATGGTATTTGGGAAATTTTTTTCATGACCTTGAGAAGCGAATTTCAAGGTCAAATGCTACAAAATCCTATGATTGCTATTTGCTAGCCTTTTCTCATGAATAGTAATCCCAATATTACAACGAGCTTCAAAATGTTGACCTTGAAAAGGTTTTCCTTACTTTTAGCGTTACCCAGAAACAACGACGTGGACTTAGTAAGGTTTGTTTCCTTTTGGGTGCTTGTTTCACGTGAGTCCCCTGCCTCTCACTAACCTCGAAGCAAGTGTTCGAAATAACGACCATTTGCTTCAAGACACATTGTCAGACGCCTTTGAAAATAGCGAACGGTGTTCTACAAAGTTTGCCTCGGAATAGCAGCGCATGCTCGATGAATCCTGTCCTGCATATCTGCTCTTGTAGAGGGTTGTTCCCCAAAAACAGCATTTTTTAAGTATTTTTTTTGCAGACGTGTCTATAATTAATAACGTGTGAATAATTACATTATCTAAATTAGTATTTATGTAATTCAAACGCTACTAATTCTCATTTTTCACATAAAACAAAAAATAAAAAAAAGTTTTAGTTTTATTTACAATCAAAATAAGAAATAATGCTTAACCCATTAAGGCCCATGCCAAACCTGGGAAAGATAGCGCCAAACTAACTATGCCAATCGTAGCTAAATCGAAAAAAAAAATACCCCTGTTTTTTCTTTTGCTGTTTGCAATTGTTTATAAGAAATTATTTAAACAAATTATCAAAAAGGTATTATTTTTAAAAAACTGATAGCGGCAATTGATTCTACGGGAAAAAACATGAAAGAAATGTATATAACGTTTTTTTGTCAGACGTCAATTTGTTAGTGTAAAACGGCTATAAACAATTGCAAGTCTGTCAGGTACATGTGTATACGTCAAATCCCAAGCAAAATCTATTGCCGATAGCGCCAAACTAACTATGCCAATCGTAGCTAAATCGAAAAAAAAAATACCCCTGTTTTTTCTTTTGCCGTTTGCAATTGTTTATAAGAAATTATTTAAACAAATTATCAAAAAGGTATTTTTTTTTAAAAACTGATAGCGGTAATCGATTCTACGGGAAAAAACATGAAAGAAATGAATATAACGTTTTTTTGTCAAATGTCAATTTGTTCCAAAAACAAATAACTGTAAAATAAATGTACTAGAAATGTCCAAATATACTAAAAACTTTTGTTGCATGAATGAAAACTGAATCCATAATATTACATAAAACCGTTAGCCCGCCACTCAAACGTGATCTCTAACACGGTTTCAATAGAAAAAAAATTTTGCAAACTCTTTGCAACTTCGTAACCCAACAATTACTATGTTAGTCAAATTTCCAAATGTACAATTTGTGAAAATTCAAAGCTTTCTGTCCTATTTTCTTAAACAAATTGACGTCTGACAAAAAAACGTTATATACATTTCTTTCATGTTTTTTCCCGTAGAATCGATTGCCGCTATCAGTTTTTTGAAAATAATAACTTTTTGATAATTTGTTTAAATAATTTTTTATAAACAATTGCAAACGGCAAAAGAAAAAACAGGGGTATTTTTTTTTTCGATTTAGCTACGATTGGCATAGTTAGTTTGGCGCTATCGGCAATAGATTTTGCTTGGGATTTGGCGTATACACAGGTACCTGACAGATTTGCAATTGTTTATAGCCATTTTACACTAACAAATTGACGTCTGACAAGAAAACGTTATATACATTTCTGTCATGTTTTTTCCCGTAGAATCGATTGCCGCTATCAGTTTTTTGAAAATAATAACTTTTTGATAATTTGTTTAAATAATTTTTTATAAACAATTGAAAAGGGCAAAAGAAAAAACACGGGTATTTTTTTATGATTTAGCTATGATTGGCATAGTTAGTTTGGCGCTATCTTTCCCAGGTTTGGCCTGGGCCTTAATGGGTTAATTGAATTGAATACCTTGAATTTTTGACAATTATTTTCATTTAAAATTTAAAATTAAAAAAATGTGATTAACGAATTATTTTTGGCAATACAGTTAGCTAAATAAAGTTACCGTAATTTTCCAACATTTTTCCTTTTTTATTTACATTCAATAGTATTAATAGCTGTTTCTGAAATGGCTGACTATCCACCCAATGAGATCGATGGTATGATTTTGGTTTTAAGAGCAAGTCAAAATAATTATCGTGCTGCGGCACGACTTTATGCTGAACGCTATCCTGGCAGACGATACCCTGATGATAGAGCTATCAAACGTTTAACCCAAAGAGCTCATGGTGAACACATGGTTCGTCAATATAGGCGCCATGAGTATGATGAAAATGATAATCGAGTTTAGCTATCCTTGCAGTGATTCACCTTGATCCACACATTAGCGTTCGTCGAGTGGAAAGGGAAATTGGTATTTCAAGAAGTACTTTTTTAAGAATTATGACAAGGCTTCGATATCACGCCTATCATATCACTTTGGTTCAAAAGATACAGTTTGAGCATTTCCAATAGCGGATTGTATTTTGCTAATGGACTTTACAAATGATACAGAATGATCCAGACTTTTTTAACTTTGTTTTGTTTTCTGATGAGGCCAAATTTCAAAGTGATGGGAACTGAATAGGCATAATTGCCATTACTGGTCTGATGTAAATCCTTATTGGTACCGAACTTTAAACCATCAAAGACGTTGGAGTTTTATTGTGTGGTGCGGGATTGTCAATGGACACTTGATTGGTCCTTTTTTGTTTGAAGGAAATGTAAATCAACATAGTTACTTGCGGCTAATAAGAGATGAACTGCCTGGATTGCTGGAAGATGTTGACTTAGAAACGCGACGAAGAATGTGGTTCCAGCAGGATCGCGCAACACCACATTTTGCTCGAATCGTAAGGGCTTTTTTGAATTAGCACTATGGTATCAGATAGATTGGGCGAGGAGGTCCGGTTAACTGACCTGCTTGTTCACCCGATCTTACATTACCAGATTTTTATTTATGGGGGTACTTAAAAAATGCTGTTTTTAAGCATCAACCCACTACAAGAGCAGATATGCAGGATAGGATTCGTCGAGCATGTGCTGCTATTCCGAGGCAAACTTTGTTGAACACCGTTCGCCATTTTCAAAGGCGTTTGACAATGTGTCTTGAAACAAATGGTCGTTATTTCGAACACTTGCTTCGAGGTTAGTGAGAGGCAGGGGACTCACGTGAAACAAGCACCCAAAAGGAAACAAACCTTACTAAGTCCACGTCGTTGTTTCTGGGTAACGCTAAAAGTAAGGAAAACCTTTTCAAGGTCAACATTTTCAAGCTCGTTGTAATATTGGGATTGCTATTCATGAGAAAAAACTAGCAAATAGCAATCATAAGATTTTGTAGCATTTGACCTTGAAATTCGCTTCTCAAGGTCATGAAAAAAATTTCCTAAATACCAATTTGGACGTAAAATAAGGGTTCCCATTAAAAAAAACACTTTGACCTTGAAATAACCTTGTAGGTCAAGTTAAAGGTCAAAAGCATTAGCCCTATTGTGTTGCCCCTTTTGCCCTCTACAACTTTTGTCAAAACCATTTTGCCCTATCTGGCTTAGGTTCCGAGTAATCCGGCTGCGGCGATTAAAATTGGTCACCGTGTATAATATGACACATGGTTAGGTACAATATATGATTAATACCTTGTCTGAACAATATCTAATAAAAGAAAAATATGCTCTAGGAATATGCGATAAAACTGATCAAATTGATATGCTAGATAACAATGGTTTAACTCATAGAACCTTAGGATTAATAGAGTTAAAACTATTTGAATACCAATTAAATGTTACGTTATACAAAATGATTTCCCTATTGATTGCGAAGGCATAATAGGATCTGATTTCCTTTTTTTCTAGTAAAGCGAGATTCATACAAAATTAATAAAAATAAAAGACATGTATATACCTTTTGAAAAACGAAAACTACCATTTAAAGAAAATGATATTTTTGTATCTGTAATAACAGAAGCTAATAAAAATTATTCAATAGTTGAAATAATTGTGGTTACTAGAAGACAAAAGCAACAAATAAATCAGCCGTCTAGTCCACCACCAGTTGACAAAGAAACCAATGAAATCAAATCAATAAAACCTTCACGTGGACGTTCACGAAAAGTTTCTGTCGAAGGTAATTGTTAAAATATTACTCCATCTCTAGAGATACCTCCTGTTGATAAATTATGCGCACCTGATTCCATCATTCTTTTCACCGAGAAAGTAGTTCTGAAGCATTACCCTAAAAGAACACGAAATGATGTACCCGACTATGTAGAAAGTAATCTCGATGACAGTGAATTTGAAGGTGAGGACGGGTTGTACCAGAAATGCCTGTGCATTCTTATTCATCTCACAATATACAAGACAATGATTCTAAAAAAAGCTCGATAAACAACAGTTCAGATGAACCTTTAATTGACAATAACTCCGTTAATATAGTTAGGGTTAAAAAAGCCATATATATGCGTAACGACAATGTTGCTTATTTTATCAGAAGCAGTAGATAACCTTCCCCGCTTAAAATTTCCTTATAAATTGTACATGAAATTTCATATGAAATAACATATGGAATTTATATAAAAGTCATATGAAATTTATCTGAAAATCATATGATATTCTTATAAAAATCATATGAAATTCATATAACATTTTCGGACAAATTTTTATATGTTTTTTATGTGAATATTATATGAATTTCATATAAATTTCATGTGAATATTATATGAATTTCATATAAATTTCATATGAATATTATATAAATTTCATATAAATTTCATATGAATATTATATGAATTTCATATAAATGTCATATAAATTTCATGTGACTTTCATATATTTTTTATATCGATTTTCATGTGAAATACCTACATTTTTTTGGTAATAATCAGAGATAAGGAAAATATTTATTTTAATTGAAAGAAAACAATTTTTCAAGACATAGTTATTTTATTTTTACTTTTTAAAAAAGATCAGTTAATATAAAATCAATCAGTAATGCACAATATTAGGAAGTGCAGTGATATAATTATTAGATTTTGTACCTATAAAAACGGCAATACTCTCGATATCATCTGTATTATAAATAGAAACTTGATTTTCAATTTTTACGATTTTCTCAACTTTATCACAGTTGGAAAAGACCTTATCAGTTTGTATAAAATTATATAGTATATATTCTTTGTCTTTTTTCTCGTCAACAACGTACTCCATAATTTGCACAAAATTACCGCATTTCATTTTTACAAAAGAATCATTTGATCGGTATTCGCGATTATTCTTTGAACCAAACAAGCAATTTTTTTTTATCAGACGATGATATGATTTTGTATCAGTTTTCGAAAGTTCTTTTAAATGAATGAACTTATCTTTTGTATACGATGATTTCCCAACATATACGTTATCCCCTACTTTCACTGATTTTTGTGTATATCTTTTTTCTAAAGAATGGACATAATCTAATACTGGTGAGTCTTCAAATTGGTTTAAAATAATTTGTTCTAACAAAATCGAACTATTTTTATATTCGAGTCTACGGCACACCTGATGCAAAACTCCTTTAGCTGTTTTAATCATACGTAAAATTTTGCCATTAGTCGATTCAAAAGGGTAACCGTGATGAACAAAAAGTGGTCCCCAATTTAAAACGCTTTCAGGAATATGTAACAATTGGTGAACATTGTACGTCATTGCTTTTTTTCCGTACAATAATATTTCGGTTCTCGCAACAAACTATCTCCTATGATATTATAATCAGAATGTACAGAGGCGCACTCGTCATAACTCTCCTCATTATTTCCTACTGAGATTTGGCTTTTAATGTTTTGAAGTGGACGTGTATGGTCGTCGTTATGCACAGCAGACCGATAAGATTCCTATAATAATAAGTACTATATGAGTATACGAACATTATTTTATAAATACTATGGAATTTACAAACCCTCTCGTTACTGTTGTCCGAGCTGTCACTCTCGCTACTTCTTTTTTTTCTTTTTTTTGTATACTTGGTTGATCTAGGAGGACTGGCTCCTGATTTTAGGTAATATTTATATTTCTTGGGCCTGGGTATTTCAATAGGTAGTGAACAGGTTCCTTGAAAATCAGAAAAAAATCAATATATAGTTATAATATATATTGAAAAAATAAACATGTCACTGTATAAACAATGATGCGTACTCACATAATTAGCAGTGTTACATGTTATAACTTAGCTTATTTAGATAATCTAGAGCATATTTTTATACAATAGTCGCAATTGCAATATGTAAAAAAATATATATATATGCTTAGTTGATTACTTACTTATAGGTTATGTCAACATGTGCTTTGGCTTTCGCCAATTGACTAATCGTTCAGCACTGGTTTCACTTATAAATTATAATTCATATAATATAGAAACAAGTGTGCATGAAAATTTTTTATCTTTATTCTAACAATTAATTATCCTTAATTAATATTTTAGAAACTTTACTTATGATGAAAAAAATTTTTCTTTTTACACGGAGAAGAAAATACTAACTATGTGAAACGACTGGAATAAAGTCAATTAAGCATGAATGTGATTGGTTGTCAAAAATTCTGACGTAACGATCGTGTTCTCATTGTTTCTCATTCTCATTGATTAGTTTGCAGAATGTAGGCCCACGTGTACATGAGATATTAATTTTAAGTTAATTAGTTATAGTTATTATTTAAATAATTATAGTTAACTGTAATAGTAAGAATTGAAACATAAGTGAGTGATATGGCGGGCACAATAACTCATGCACTATTCTATATGTGTGAGGATATGCAATTTGCTGTTCTTGAAGTAAAACAGATACAAAACTTTTCGCCAAAGAATTATCAGGATTATGAGGAAAATATATCGTATTTTTATAAGCAACGAGGCTCAAAAAAATATTTACGAGATTAAAATTTTTGAGTTGGGAGGTAAGCAAATTTATAAATTTTAGAAGCTTTAATTTTTAAGTACATAACCTACAAAATATTCTCATGCTAATAACAATGTTTTTAAATCAGAAGTCAATGGTAGAGAATTTAAAAAAAATGAGAGCACTAGTTTTTTCTCATACAGATGACTTTACTACTGGAAAACTAATGGTTGTTGACATCAACAACATCTATCAGTTTTCCATAATTAAACCTAAATACCAAAGCAACTTCCAAAAAGATACATATTATACGTATGTTGAAAATGTCAATAGAAGAGATGTATACATATTGGCCATCGGAGGTAGGAAATTCATGTATTTATTTGTTTTTTTTTTATTACTCAGTTTCTAGTTCTACTTGTGATATTTTGGTTTTTCAGATGAAAGTGAGATGTCCAGTTTACATAATGAAATAAAAGAAAGGATCTTGTTGAAGAATGCAAATACATTGTTTGCTTTAGTAAGATTTTTGAAGAATGATGCTTTGCAAGCTATTAACATTGTTGATATCGAAGGATTCGCCTTGAATAATACTACATTGGATTTCAAAATTGATGTTGTATATCATGCCAAATGTAACGATGACAATGAAATACAGAATGTACAGATTTAAAAATTGGGTGGTAAGAAAAATACAATCATTAGTTTCTGATATAGCATTGTTAATAGTTTGCAATATATTTTTAGATTTTACACACTTAATACATACTTTTACATATTTTCAGACTATTGTACTTGTGCATCAGCTATTGATGTATTTAATAAAGTTGATTTTGCTTTAGTCTGGTGTGTAAAGCAAAACATTATTGCAGTTCATACAATAAAAAGCATAAGGGAGTTAAAATATCAAGACGATTTATTAATCAGTAGCTTTAACAAAAATAAAATATACAGTGCTAAACTCAACGTCGGAGATACTAATTACTCAGCAGTGCAAATTCTAGCGTTAGGCAGTATGTTGAAAAAATGTGATTATACATAATCATATAACTTCATATCATGCCAATTTCTATTTGTTTTTATTTTTAGGTAAAGAAGTCTTGGAGTTTCAGAAAAAACATGCTGGAAAACGAATGAAAAAAAAAGTTTTTAATTCAAGCGACGTTGATGCCATAGAAAAGTTAATAACTGATCATTCCAGCGAAAATGAGGAGATTGAAAGTTTGATCGAAGAGATAGATTCTGAAGTATCAGTAACAAATGAAAATAAGGGAAGACAAAAGAGAAGAAATAAGAAAAGGGTATTAAAAATATCATTTTTACGAATATTTTGTGCTAAATGTATGATAAAAAAATAACTAAATGTACTTACACGTATTACTTTTTATTCTGTATAGGTGAAAAAGAATAATAATGCTATTGATACAGATGATGAGGAAGAAGATAAAGAAGTTTTATCAAGGAAATGCAATGCTGTGATAAACCAACAATCAGTCTTATCATTTTCGGAGAATGGTAGTGTTGATGGAGATCTAAACGATAGAAATAATAGTACAACAAATACATCAAACGAAAAGTCAAGAAGTGTACTCCAACCAAGACAGCTCTTTCATACAGGTATAGTCGAGAAAGATTTATTTCGCATTTGATTTTTAAAATGTAAATAATAATTATTATCTACCAAATATTTTTAATTGTAATTTTTACTACAGATAATCAGTCGACTAGCCCACAGTATGGAAATGGCTTTAAAAAAAGAAGATCGAATGAATCACACAGGAAAACCAAAAAATCTAGAAATTACTTTAACCCAGTTCCACTTAAACGTGGTATGGGTGATTATAATCCCTCAATATTTTCCAGAAATGATGATAAGTATAACTTTTCATTAATAGAATGGTCAGATGATAGTGATGGTGAAACACCATATCTACAGTTCATTTTCCGAAGAAGAGGCCGAAGAGGAAGAATATAATACAGTGAGAAATTATATATTACATAAATATTGAAAGTGTTTTTGAATAAAGTAATGTTACGTATAATTTTTTTCAGGTTTCCAAGAAAATTCGGAAAATTCATTTAGGGTGGGACGTAACGATTCCTAAGAAAACTTGGCAAAGTTTGAAAAAATGTAAGGGTGTGATGAAGTTTACCAAAGATATCTGTATATCTTTATGGGAAAATAACATTGTAAATAAATGTCTGAAAAAAACGCCATACTTGCAAGTAGTTGATCAACCAAGAACGACAATCACTCCAACTAAATTGAAAGCTATAACGCGTGAGTAACTTTATCTTATGCAATTATAAAATATGTTTTCAACAATTGTACTTACCGTGGATTTTTTATTTTTTAGAATGTGTCAAATATTGGATATATGTCAAGCATCCAGACTGGCTAGAAGAGAAAGATATGGATGAATATTTACAAAATATTCACCCAGCATTAACTCAAAAAATTAACGGTGAAATTCAAAAATATAAATTAGCGAAAAAAACAAATAAGTTATTATTTATTATATACTTACTGTAAATTATTAACTAAATAATGTAAAATTTTTCTTAATAAAATATATTTTTCATTATTACCAATAATTTAATATTTATTATTATTCATAAAACTAAGATTTCTAATTCAAATAACCAAACAAAATGTAGGTATTTCACATGAAAATTGATATAAAAAATATATGAAAGTCATATGAAATTTATATGAAATTCATATGTAATTTATATGAAATTTATATAAAATTCATATGAAATTTATATAAAATTCATATAATATTCATATGAAGTTTATATGAAATTCATATAATATTCACATGAAATTTATATGAAATTCATATAATATTCACATAAAAAACATATAAAATTTGTCCGAAAATGTTATATGAATGTCATATGATTTTTTTAAGAATATCATATGATTTTCATATAAATTTCATATGACTTTTATATAAATTCCATATGTTATTTCATATGAAATTTCATGTACAATTTATAAGGAAATTTTAAGCGGGGTTGTGTCGAAGGTGCACGAAAATTTTTAGAAAATAAAAAAATTATTACTAAACAAATATTACAAACGAGTGAAGTTTCAAAAGCAAAGAAAAAAAATAACTATTGTCAATTTGGACTTTACATATGAGGAGATCGCCCTGAATTGTTAACTTATATTAAGAATTATACACATATTACTTTAACGATATGAAAAGATTGGTTAATTAGTACTAATTAAACTGAAGTCTGCATTGCTTAAAGTAAACTAAATATTTTAGGCCCTCTAAATAGAACTGTAAAGGGAAATTAATATATTTTAATCGTACAGGATCAATTAAGCAAATTTTACCTGACTGTCACATTACCAGACACCTTGTCGTCAACAACAGCTGATGCTTTTATCAAGAAATTCATTTGTGTTTTTAGATACCAAAAAGCTGTACTTGTTCTTGTACTTACTGATCAAGACAATCATTTCTTAAGTTCACTAATGACACGTGTTTCCAAGCGATTTAAAATTAAAAAAAAATACCATAACATATATGACTCAATCCTATTGTCGCCTTGAGTATTTGAAACAATACACCGACATTGACAACTATTGGGATGATTGGCTCGACCTAGCTTTTTTGAATTACAATACTAGCGTACAAGAAAGTACCAAACATACGCCTTATGAAGTTGTATTTGTCCAATTAGCTCGGATGCCCTCAAATAAGCCCCTTCGTGAATATAGTATGCTACCTACATATAAGAGATATACAGGGGAATCCAGTGATGACCTTGAATTTGACCTTGGACCTTACCGTCAAGGTCATTTCAAGGTCAACCTCATTTTTTCAAATGAGAACCCCTATTTTTGATGCCGAAATCAAAATGAGCGGGAAATTTTACGTCCGGATACGTGGTTAGGTATGAGGTTGAAGTAACCTCTGGAGGTCAAATAGAGGTCAATGTCGGAAAAAGTATGGAAACCCCTGAAAATCTGAGCGTTGGTCGTAAAAATAAAATTGTTAACGTCAGGTCTTATGTAACTTTCAACGATGAATCCAGTGATGACCTTGAATTTGACCTTGGACCTCACCTTCAAGGTCAAATTTCTTTTGTTAAATGGGAACCCACACTTTTGACATCGGCAATTGAAAGAGAGTCAAATTTTACGTTAAAATATGCCTTGAGGTCCAAGGTCGACGTGACCTCTGGAGGTCAAATAAAGATTAACAGTATATTTATATCGAAACTCCAAAAATGTGTCTATTTTGATTATTAAACAAGAAAACTAGTTTCTCAATCCAGAATCCTTCTTTTAGCGCTATCCAGGAACAACGACGTGGACGTAGAAGGATTCTGTTCCCTTTGGGGGGCTTTTTTAGAGTAAGTTCCGCTTGCCTTTCACTTGAGAGGTAAGGGAAGATATAAGGGGAACTCACGATAATCCATTTTATTTTTATGACCAACCCTCTGAGATTTTCAGGTGTTTCCATACTTTTTCACCACCCTGTATAATAGATTTAGTTGCGCGTTTATGTCGTATACAGAAGGTAGCGTATGAGAATTAATTCTAAATTTAAATTAATTCTAAAGAATGATCAAAAAAATAATTTATTCAAATAAACCCCGAATTTCACATTTTAACAAATCAATAAAAAGAACCAAACAAAAATTAAAAAAAAATAAATAAATAAAAATATGTAAGAAATAATTGACAACTGAAATGTAACGTTTGATCTTTATCTTACGTTATGTAAATAGATAATTGGAACTCTAACAATAAGATGTATTGATAATCGCGTTTCCGAGAATAAGCAAGAAGTTGACACGTAAAAGTACTTTGTATTTTGATATTGTTACGATCATCGAATAGCGAATATAGTGATATCTACGTAGTTCGCTGCTTCGACGGGCCGTTTGAAATACAACTAACTAGAGAACCACCCCAACCCTCTGCCTCCGATTTTTCTGTAATTGAGATATGTTATAGTTCGTAAAAAAATGAAAGACCCGTATTTTTTTATTGGCGGAAAAAGCTATCTAAGGGATGAAACCCACCCCCAAAAAACAGCCCCAAAAGCAGTTTTATAGCAATATCTTTTGTTGTAATGAATATTTTTTTATGAAACAAAAAAACACAAGATACTCATAAAAAAAGTAACAGACACACATCAATTTGGTCACTGGGGGTTGCAACCATTACGTTGTATAGAGGAAAAACTGTATTTTTAAGTGTATTTTTACCTTACAAAATCAAAAAATTATGTTAAAAAAATTTAAAAAATGATATAGTAGAAAATGATAAAACAAAATTGACGTGTTTCGGGATTCTCCTATTATCTATTATTTCGAGGATGCACTACCCCTTAATGTTATTAATACAATATAAGCAGTTGTTAATCGCAGATTCTGCTGGTTATTTCATGTTCTATGACGCTCAAAAAAGCCAAACACATGTATATTTTTGTTCTGCCGAATAAACTATTTAGAGGGTGAAAGCTACCCCTTTTATAGCGAAATTTTCGTATTTTATGCACAGTTTTCGAAGAAAACAAACTCTAAAAAATTCTTTTAAAAAATTTGAGCTAAATATAAGGATTTCGTCTACAGGGGTTACAACTCAACCTCCTAAGTTGCCTGAAAGAAAAGCTATGTTTTCAAATATTTTCTTGCAAGATTTTTTCAGAAGAAATGAAGTTTATGAAATTCTGTTTAAAATCTAACACAAAAGTATACAGTATCCGTCACCAGAGGCTGCTACCCCTTCATTGGAGAGTGAAAAGAGCATTCATTTGTTACCCTGATCCCCTACCACCCCGAACCCAATTTCCTTAAACCTCGAGCTGGTTACCCTGCCACGCTATAACCCGTAACTCCTACATACCAATTTCATCAACCCTCGAGCTGGTTACCCTGCCATGCTCTAACCCCGAACTCCTACACCCGAATTTCATCAATCCTCGAGATGGTTACCCTGCCAAACTCTAACCCCGAATTTCTACACCCGAATTTCATCAACCCTCGAGCTGGTTACCCTGCCACGCTGTAACCCGTAACTCCTACACCCCAATTTCATCAACCCTCGAGATGGTTACCCCGACCTTACCAATTTTCTAGTCAGAAGCCTGGTTCTCTGTTATTCATAATACCAATTTTGATATATTTGTAATATATCTGAAGAAAAGGACATAGGCGAAATGATTGTAGAAGATAACATTAAATTTATTTCATTTTTATGTTATATTTACGTTATATTAATTCGTCATTTCATCTGATATTGAGATTACATTTTTTGAATATAAAAAGACGATGCGGTTCATGTGGTTCAAATACCAAGATTGGAACTACAACTGTTTTTTTCCTTAATAGAAACCACAATCGACGAATGCGGTTCATGCGGTTCAAATACCAAGATTGGAACTACAACTGTTTTTTTCCTTGATAGAAACCACAATCAACGAATGCGGTTCATGTGGTTCAAATAGCCATATTGGAACTACAACTGTTTCTTTCCTTGATGGAATCCACAATCAACGAATGCGGTTCATGTGGTTCAAATAGCAAGATTGGAACTACAACTGTTTCTTTCCTTGATGGAAACCACAATCAACGAATGCGGTTCATGTGGTTCAAATAGCAAGATTGGAAGTACAATTGTTTTTTTCCTTGATAGAAACCATAATCAACGAAAGCGGTTCACGTGGTTCAAATAGCAAGATTGGAACTACAACTGTTTTTTTCCTTAATAGAAACCTCAATCGACGAATGCGGTTCATGTGGTTCAAATAGCAAGATTGGAACTACAACTGCTTTTTTCCTTGATAGAAATCGCAATCGTTGACGTATGTGATAAGCAAAGATCTAACAGTGGAGGAACCTCGGGCATCTTTATTTGATATCGGTTTGTGTGGTGCCAATTTCAAAACATGTTTTGTTCACTTACAGTATATATAAGCATATTCGATCAGCATACTTCAGTAAATTAGTAATAGAACTTTGCTTTACATCTACGTTTTTGAATATCAAAATGGTGTAAGAATGGCAATTGAAATTCACAACGTCATTCAAAAATTACTGAAAACATTTCACATAAATGCGGTTGTAGAAAGCATACTTATATTAAATGATGTAGAGAAGCAGCTACACGATTATGTTGAAGATATATTGAGAAAAAGCATTGAAACGAATTCAGATATTGAATGTGAGTTAAGTGACAACTTATGTTTCCTGGATGATGATTTTGATATTAATCCAGAAGTAATTGACGATCAATTTGAAGAAATACATGGTGTAGGCTATGCCGAGGTACCTACTTGTACGGTAACAAATACGGTACTCGACGATGGATTTAAAAGAAAGGCTGTTGAATACTGCAAAAGTGGTAAGAAAAAGAAACTGTCTTTAAGTTTCGTCCAGAGTAAATTAAACAAGTTTCGTCAGAACGTCAGTTGAGAACATGGAAACAGCAAATTTTGACAGACGTGACCAAAAGACAGAATCTGTT